AAGTGACAATTTGGGATATACTTTAATTTATTTGGATTAAGTTTGCAAAGTGAGGGGAAAAGGAATCAGTGCTGATCCCTAGGTTTTTGGCATGAGCAACAAGATGGTGCCATTAATTGAGGTGGGGGTCAAGACATGTGGGGCAGGAACAGGTTTAGGCAAGAAAATAAAGAGTTTGCTTTAAACAGGTTAAGTTTAAGATGACTGTCAGGCAACCGAGTGAAATGTTGAATAGCTATTTGGATACTAGTCTGGAGCTCAGGTGAGAAGTCAAGGTTAGAGATGAAATATATGTGACTCATATTAATGGTCAGGACACTAGATGAAACTTCCTAGGAAGTGAGGGATAAAGGGAACAAGAAACCTGAAGGCTGACACCTGAGATTTACCAAACTTTAAATGAGGATGAGAAGGGAAGCCCACAGAGGAGACCGAGATGTGCTGGCACCATCAGGAGGAAGTGATCTTGAGTTTGCAGGAGCCAGTGGCAGCTATGTGCATGTTACCAAATACAACTAACAATGACATGCCCAGTAATCTAGCTCTGTTTAAGTTTTTCAATATATTGTATTAATATAGTTTAGGAATTTTATACTGTAATTATTCCTAAAGTAACAGGAAGTCTGTGAAATCTAAACATAGACTTATTTTGTATTGTAAGTCAGTATCTCTTCTCTTCTTTAATGTAGGAGACCTCACTAAACAGCTTCCCATCATGGTGGTGGGGGAGCACAAGGATAAGGTGATTCAGTGCAGATGGCACACCCAGGACCTGTCCTTCCTGTCGTCCTCCGCAGACAGAACTGTCACCCTCTGGACTTACCGTGGATAGAGCATGCCCAGTGCCTGTCTGGCCGTGAAAGCGCGGGGACTGAAGACTACTGATTGTGACAATTCCAGATTTGAAGAACGCAGACTGACCAGGAAAGTGGCTTAGCATGAGGAGGCCCTTTGACCTTGTACCCGTTGGTAGGAGCTGTGGGCGTGTATTCTGCAGTGCTTTCGGTCTTCCACGTGAGCTCGTGCTGCTGTGACCTGCTGTGTGTCGTCTTGTTGCCAAAGTCTGCGGAAGAGCTCTGTGTTGTCAGTGTGCACTCCAGTCACGGTGGACGATGTGTTTACGGTTTAGTATTAAAGCATTCCTTGGTCTTTGCCGAAATACCAGTTTTATATACACATGAGATGGAACTGTACTTTAAGCATATTATTACCTGTAATGCAACCAAGTTCTACACAGATAACATAGGTGTTCAGAAGTTATTTTGTTTTTCTCACAATCCCATGATAATTGTATCACTTGCCCCTAGAGGTCAGAATTTTATGTCTCTTGAAAGTTACATGGTTGTTTTCACTGAGGATCATTCTTGAGTTTAAAGATGGAGGGAAACTGCTCCTTAGATCACTATGTGGTATCGGCCTTTTCTTTTTTCTTAATCCAGGGATATAATTACTATTCTGTCACCTTATTTTGTTTCATGCTTAAAAGGCAAATGTATTTGCTTCAGAAACTTGTTAATTTCAACTTTTTGAATGCAACAAGATACCTCCCTTCCAAACTGTACTGTAGGGCAGAGCAGCAGTGGGTGTGATGCAACACTTTATGGTGCAGTCAATTTGCTGGCCAGCATTTTCCTCTAAAAAATGAAAACTTTGCCATAGACTATAGCATGGCTTGAAATGCTATGTCTGCATGATAACTGAAAGATGGAAATTTTAAACTTTGCACTCCAAAAGCTTATTTGGGTTTTTTTCTTGCACTGTTTTGTGTAATGCAGAATAATGATTTTATTTCTACGGCAACGTAGATCCTAACACGTATCTTTATTTTCCTATTGTACAGCATTTTACTTTAAATTATTAAATAGGCTATTTTATTTATTTTAAATGCAGTTGAGTTGGTTCTAATGATTGAACTGTCTGTGCACTGTATGTAGCAAGCATTTTTAAACTATTGTATACAAGTGGAAAGGGTATTAGAAGTGTAACTGTGCTATTATTTCAATAAAGACCTCTTGACACCTAAAACTATTCCTGTTTCCAGTGTCTGTGGCTTTCAATTTAGAGGGTTGTTTTCTCCAGTTTACTTGGAGGTAGTGTGTTCCGAGGGATGAGCAATCATTTTCTTAAGTTTCTAAAGTCCTTTCACTAATTTACTTTTTAACCCTTCACGACTGCATAAGTTTTGTGTCTTCTACCTCTTTAATTCAAGATCTAGAGAACTTCCTATCTTGAATATATTCTGAAAGTTGGTTAATAAAAACCTGGCAAAATGTATAAATTCTAAGTTAGACTACAAATGAAGTGAGTGCCAAGAAAGAAATAAAATCTAATTAGTTTGTGGATAGTCAGCAGATACACAGTTTTGCTATCTCTTAGGAATGCAGAAGGGAACTCCACTAAAATAGGCTACAGTCTTTTCTTTAGTTTACTTTCTTAATTTTACACATTTTAGATATACCAGGTCATTAGTGTTAAATTGTAAACTAGGAAAAATAGCAGAGTTTTTTTTTTTTTTAGCAGTTTTTTTTAATATAGACCAGCTCAACTTCATGGTAAAAATGTTCATAAAATTTTGGATCCCATATTCATCATTATCAAGGAGTAGGCTTTAAGATCCTTCCATATGTGGGATATGGAACCCATTTTGCAGTGTAGTAGATAATGAGCACTAGAAGTTGTCTTACTGCAATAAACATTTGGTTACATATCCTTCCCATGCCTCCACACTGTCTTCTGCATGGAGGTGAATAGACTTGGTTCATGTGAAAGAAAATAAGGGAACTGAAGTATCTATATTCTCTGGACCCTTCTTAGTGAGGAGTGCAGAAATTAACTCCTTGGTAAAAGCTTCAGAGGTCTGGTTCAAATTTTATGTTTTAAATGTTTATTTTTAATTGTAATAAGCTAAAGGCTACAAGCAACAGAGTGAAAAGGCAACCCATGAAATTGGAGAAAATATTTGCAAATCATATATCTGATAAAGGGTTAATATTCAGGATAAAGAATTCCTCTACCTCAATAACAATCCCCTCCCCCCAAACAACCTGATTAAAAATGGGCAAAGGGCCCAGCTGGTGTGGCTCAGGGGTTGAGTGTTGACCCATGAACCAAGAAGTCCCCAGTTCCATGCTTGGTCAGGGCACATGCTTGGGTTGCAGGCTCCATCCCGTGAAGTGTGGCGGGGAGGGTGCAGGAGACAGTGTATCCGATCAATGATTTTCTCTCATAGATGTTTCTATCTCTCTAACCCTCTCCTCCCCACCCCCCTGTGTCTTTTTTAAATTTATTTTTCTTCCCCTCTCAAATTAATAAGAACACTTAGAAAAGAATGTTCTTTAAAAAATGAACAAAGGACTCAAATAGACATTTCTCTAAAGAAGACAAAAAATGGCTAATAATAAGCTCATGAAAGGATGCTCAACACCACTAATCGTTAGGGAAATGCAAATGAAATCATGAGACACCATCTCCCATCCATTAGGATGGCCACTATAAAAAGTGTTGGCAAGGATGTGGGGCAATTGGAACTCTTGTGCACTATTGGTGAGAATGTGAAATGGTGCAGCCACTGTGGAAGACAGTATGGTGGTTCCTCAAAAAATTAAAAATAGAACTACATATGATCCAGCATTCCCACTTCTGGATATATACCAAAAAGAATTGCAAGCAGGGGTTTGAAGAGATATTTGTACACTCATGTTCATAGCAGCACTACTCAAAATAGCCAAAAGGTGCAGGCAACCCATGAGTACATCAACAGATAAATGGATAAATAAACCTTGCTATACAACATAATGGAATATTCAGCCATAAAAACGGAAGATTTTGACATGTTACAACCTGGATGATCCTTGAGAATATTATGCTATGTGAAATAAGCCAGCCACAAAAGGACACTATTGCTTCCACTTATATGAGGTTCCTACAGTAGTCAAATTCATAGAGATACAAAGTGGAATGGTGGTTGCCAGGGGGAAGTGATGAGATGTATAATGGCTCCAGAATTTCAGTTTTGCAGGATGAAAAAGTTAAGGAGATGGGATGGTTGCACAACAATGTGAATTATTATTTTTTAAATATATTTTAATGATATTTTACAGAGAGGAAGGGAGAGGGATAGAGAGTTAGAAACATCGATGTGAGAGAAACATGGATCAGCTGCCTCCTGAACACTCCCTACTGGGGATGTGCCTGCAACCAAGGTACATGCCCTTGACCAGAATGGAACTTGGGACCCTTGAGTCTGCAGGCCGATGCCCTATCCACTGAGCCAAACCGGTTAGGGCGAATGTGAATTATTTAATGACAATGAACTATATATTGAAAAATTGATTAAGATGGTAAATTTTATATCAGGTGTATTTTTTTTGGTGTATTTTAATTTTAAAGAATTATAATAAGCAACACGCACGGTCAAGTACTACATTATATACCAAAATTTAAGACACTTTGCCAATAACTTGTGTACATCTCTCACTAACTCCTAGTGTGTAAAGCATATCCTTTTTTTCTTTGGAGAGTTTCCTGAGATTGCAAGGCCAGCAGTTAAAGACAAAAACAAAACAATTCTTTTCATTCATCATAGTCCATTTAAAAAATGCTTAAAATAGATTTCCGGGTTTTGTGGCAAGTGTTACACTATTAGAAGTTATAAAATAAATCAAGATTTAAAAATACCCTTCTCATCCGTTTTATATGTTTGGCTTCTTTGGTTGTCATTTGCAGGGCGTTCTGCAGGTGAAAATCCCCAAAAGTGCCTGGCGGAAACCCCGCCCACAGGACAGGCCCCGCCCCCTCGGCGGGCCAATCAGCGGCGCGCCCGGGAAGGGCGCAGGGCTGCC